AGCCGAGATCCTGCCTGCCTCATCCTTCTCCTCTTTTCCTCCTCCTCCTCCTCCTCCTCCTCCTCCTCCTCGTCGCCTTCCCCTCTCCCCCCCCATCGTGCCCCATCCCCCCGCCTCATGCCGCCTCGACCCCATCCCCCCCCCCTTCCTTCCCTACGGTCCCACGGCCAACGAAGACGGTCGCAGGGAGGGGTGCCAACGTACCTCCACAACCTTGAGCCTCATACCGACAGGCGCCATTTGCTACCAGTCAGTGTGCCCTCCTCCCCCTATCTACTCCGCTCAGCGACGCCGCAGGATCGGCCCCCACGCACTGATCTGCCTCCCGCTCCTGGAGCAGCTGCGCCGGGCGCTGGGCCTCGCTTCGGTCTGAGTTTCGGGGCGAGCGGGAGATCAGGAACAGTAGGGGATGGGGAGACGAGGCGATGCTTTGGAGGAGGAGGGGAGGAGGCGGAGGAGGGGGAGGAGGTGGAGGAGAAGGAGGAGGAGGAGGAGGAGGAGGAGGAGAAGGAGGAGGAGGAGCGGGAGGAGGAGGAGGAGGAGGAGGAGGAGGAGGAGGAGGAGGAGGAGGAGCGGGAGGAGGAGGAGGAGGAGGAGGAGGAGGAGGAGGAGGAGGAGGAGGACCTCGAGTAGGAGGAGGAGGAGGAGGAGGAGGAGGAGGAGGAGAGGAGGAGGAGGAGGAGGAGGAGGATTTTGGGGAGGAGGAGGCAGAGGAGGAGGAGGATTGTATTGGATTGGATTGGATAGGATTGGATAGGATTGGATTGGATTGGATTGGATTGCATTTGCCTGCATTGGAGGGTGCGGTGGCTTCATGCGTAGCCACCTTTTTCCGTGGGGGGCGCCAGGTACCTGGGGGCAGGTGGCCGTGCGCGACCCCACGGCGACCAAGCTAGGGTCCGCCCTGGCACTATGGAGGGGGGGTGGATGGAGAGGAATGCCCTCCTCTGCTCCGCCCAGCTCCGCCCAGTCCGCTGGTCGCTACAGGCCGGGCCGAAACCGAGCCGATAAAAGTGGGAACGGGCCAGTCGCAGAGGGCCAGGAGTGCCCTCTGAGGTTGGAGCTCTTGCATGACCTTACTACCAAGGCTCTGTCATTGCAGGGCGCAGGTGCAATGGCTCGGCGTCGGAAAGAAGGGGAGGAAAACCATTCCCAGGGAGGGGGAGAGGTGGCCCCCACCTACGCCACTGCGAGTCCAGCCTGGCGCTGCCCGGCCCTCCAGCTCTGGAGGGAGGGAGAGGAGGATGGGCGCAGGCAAGGAGGACGTGCCGAGCAGGGGAAGGAATGCGCGCTTTTGGTCCGCCGCTGGGCCCCAGAACTTCGACACCACAAGGTCGATGTCTCTGGCGAGAGCGGCTGCTTCCTGGAAGCCGACCTCCCCTGGACAGACCGAGAGGATCGCGCTGGCCGCTGCCACCCTCGATGTTGGGGGCGGGGAGCCGCGCGCTGTCCAGAAGGCCGCTCGCGCCGCGCCTGTGTAGTTGCAGCTACCCTGGACATGCAGGGTGGGGCTGAAAACTTTCCCTTGACAGCACACGCAGACTTGCCGGCGGGCTCTCGACCGAACACGGGATAAGTGGCTGAGGACAAGGAGCTGGCATCGTTGCCGATTGAGGGAGCGCTGGCCGAAGAAGGCCGCGACGGGCAGGCGCAGGGAGAGCGCTGTGGAGAGGTCCTTCCTGGGCACTGGGCCAAGCGAGAGCGGGTCGGGCACTCGGACCCGCGCTTGCAGTCGTTGGCGAAGGGTTGCTTTGCTCCTTGTCTGGGGAGTGTGCCGAATGAACGCCTTGTACACAAGCAAGGCAACCTCCCCCTTTGAGGCGCCCACCCAGGCTGGCCAGTCCGGTAGGTCCCACTGGTCCAACAGGGCTACCGAGGCAACCGCCCAGGTGCGCCCTGGAGATACATGGCCGTGCACAAACGCTCCTTTGTAAAGATCTCCATCCGGAAGGAGCCACAGGCCTGCTCGCCGGGAGGCGATGTCCAGGATGGCCCGTGCTCCTCCAGAGAGCGACCAGCCAAGCTCCGAGACTGCTGCAGCACCGTCGCACCAGGGATGGCTCCCCAGGAGCGCCCTGGCCCACCCTTCGTAAACAGAGTCCAGGCGCTCGAGGGCTCCCTCCGTTGTGGCCAGGAGCCAGCGCCCGAAGCGCAGGGAGGCGTCAATCACCATGTCGAAAATGAACGCCGCCGCAGCCAGCGGGAGTGCTCCTGCCGCCACGTGCCCCGCCAGGGACGCGGCGCACTGCGATGAGGCCACGGCGAGCCGCACCTCTAGCGCCCCAAGCAGGCTCAGGTCCCCAGGCCACTGTAGACCAAGCCACCTGTGCTTGGTGGCGATGTCCACCTGTGCCGGCGGGAGGCCGCAGCCTGCAGGTCCGGGGCAAGCGTGTTCGTGTACGAGGGGAAAGTGAGCGGCCCCACGGCGCCTCCTCCCGCAATCCCCTGGGACACAGCGACTGTTTCCACGCCATTAAAGTTTATATAAGTGGTGCCGTTCTCGAAAAGGCTCCCCAGGCGAGCCAGCGCGCCGTGTCGGAGACCCCCGCATGCTCCCGAAGGCGGCGTAGCAGCCCAGCCGGCCACGTGCGTGGGAACGCTTTTGGGATATCATCGAAGATGACCCACAGGGGCCGTCCCTGCGCCGCCGCTGCCGCGGCAAGCTCGCGGAGAACCAGATGAGCATCATCGACGTCCCGGACGTGCCCTTTTTGTTCTGGAGGCACCGAGCCCTGCAGGTGCCCGAAGAGGCGTCGGTGAATCACGGGCTCTTGAATGAGTCCCATCTGTGCCTTCACCATGATCAGGCGGAAGGGTGATGGCAGGTCCACTGGGCCCTCCTTGTGGAGCGGAACTGCGCAGCTCCCGCGCCAGCCTTCAGGCCTCAACGCAAGATGGCTCGGGCCCATAAGACATTGCGCTAGCCGCGCCGCTTGATCCAGGAGAGCGTCCCCCAAGAGGAACACGAGCCGCGGAACTAGGTCCGGCGTGGTGGCCC